CTATCGATCTAAAGAGAAGACGGATCCCAACTCAGACGAGACTCTGCATCGGACTCACTTGAGCACCCGACGATGCTGGTCGCCATTAAACGTTTTCCATTCGAGATCCACGGTTGATGCTGTACGCAAAGGTGGCTGCATCGGGGCTCTGAAGACTTGCTGCATACAGGGGATTCACCGGGGTATCGATCACGGTACTGTCGTACTCGTAGCTCATGGGACCGGGTGGCAGGGACTGCAATGCATTTACCCATTCAATACCCATAAACACGATTGAACTTTTCTATACGACATGAAGAGTTCGGTCATGGTTTTGGCACGACACACAGACAAGATACAATGGAGAGGGCATACCTGGAAGATAAGATCTCCACTGGGAGAGCGGAGGGAGGAGAAGGATGCCTGGTGGGGGAGAGAGAGGTCATCTTCTAGTGTCTCATCCTGCTGGGGCTTGTAAGAGAACAGGATCGCCGGTTGGGCAGACCTGCATTGGGAGACAGAGGAAGAACAGCTGACATCGACCGATCGTATTGCTTTCACTGAGCAACAGCTATGTTCAGCCGTATGACATCTCGTGCATTCAGCCTCACATTTCTGCCATTCAAGTAAAGTGTTTATTTTAAGAGGTCTGAATTAGCCTGATCCCTGATCACCAGAATACCTTGAAACTTTGGCAAGATTCTTAGCTCAGAGGAGGTTTCAAGAAAGGATTGATTAAACCCATCCCTCAGTAGCTCCTCTCACTTGAGTTACCAAGGATAATTGTTAGTTCATCTACACTTTAAAGCCAACAAGTTGACAGTCTGACAGCCAAACTTCATGATGTAAAGATGGAAAAACGCAGTCTACCCTGCAACAAAAGGCTGAGCCTTTTTCTCTGACTTTTTGTATTCTTTGATTCATGGGAATAAACTATTCCAGAAACTTTCAAGGGAACACCAAATCATTTATGTATCAAAGCCAAATTAAATGACAGTTTAAGAGTTTAGTTTGCCATTTAATCGGTTTTTGTATGGACTTTGTAAGTCCAGTGCTTATTGAAAAGCACTGAACCTCTCACCCAAAGAACTCGGAGAGGAAGGTCCGATACACGAGCGGAGTGAGGAGGCTGAAATAGACGTATGCGGTGATGTCCACGATGCAAAGCCCCCCGTCAACGTCGTCCAGGAGGAGCCCAGCTCCGATGGCTTGAAGAATGTTGAGCAGAGCCAAGAACGCAACATAATAATAGAAGGACTTCTTGGTTGGCAGGCTCATCCTATCTCTCAGCCCAGTCCATCGCAGCAGGAATACCAACAGGTAAACCTGCAATAATGGGGTATAATGAGAACATTTTCCTGCAATGAATTTATCCCAAAATTGAACCAAGGTAAAATTGAACATTCTCCCACACTGTCTACCCATCCATACTGCATGAATTCAATAAACTTTCTATTACTTTATTCTTATATTTATAATTATTTCATATCTTGTTGGAAAAAGACTGCTTCTGAACATCTAAAGGCATATTTGCAAAGTAAATATGTTCCAAAACCTCTTAGCAGAGATATCAAAGAGGTACTCATCCACACAAACAAGGATCATGAGAATTCAGTGAAGAGCTATTTTTATTTTTAGAGATGGAGTACCAATGATATCAGGACCAAAAAGTTTTGAAATGTCTGCAGGCCTATCAAAAAAACTACTCCACTTTGGAAGAAGCAAACTAGCACAACTATCTCATTTGAAAAAACTCACCAAGCCAAAGAGAACAGAGCTGACACACCAGAAGATCATTCCCCCGTGAGCAAAGATATCATAATTCTTATTCTCTATGTGGAAGTTTTCATCTGGGACAGCGATCTCCAGGACACCCTGTGTTATTGAGAATGCAAGCGACACAGCTGAGGTCACCAACAGGACTCGCCTGATTGATGTTTGGCTGTCTAGGTGACCTGAGAAAAACAAGGAAAAATAGGTTTAAAAAAAAAAGGAGGTAACTGAATTCACCAAAAGAAGACCAAGCCACAATCAAATGTGGCTCACCAAAAGCAAGACCAAAGATGAGGACACTGATCTCAGTGGAAAGGAGGAAGAAACGGACAATAACATAGAGGATCTTGTCCACATAGTCACCAAACGTGACTGCAGCATTCACGGTCATCGACACTACACATCGTAGGAGACTTGCCATCACGTTCATCACCACCTGGGGAGAGCAGACCACAGGAAATATATACATATATTTTCCCTTTCCTTAATTGGTCTCTTAGAAATATTATAAAATGACAGCAATGTGAGCCATGTGTGCCCCTTGCAGTCAAGAAATGAACCTAAAACTTGTGCTCAGAAATGTTAAATCAAACTTACATACTGCATACTAGTGGAACCAGGGAAAAATATAAAAAAAATAAAAACGTCCATAATTCACAATGTGATTTCATGTCATGAAAGTAAATTTTTTCCCATAGCTGTCAGTAAAGATAGATAAGACTGACATATTTGTCAACAGCCACTGATACTTCAACTGGTATCTTATCGTATTGAAGGACTCCAGTGCGGGAGATAACCAGAAGGAATGGAGTACCTTTCCTAGACTCAAAGTCTAATCTTGAAGCCAAAAAACTTAACCCAAGAGCTTTATCTCTGACTTTTCACTATCCTCATCTAATACAAGTTCCACTGAAGAAGTTGAAAACAGATAAGCACATTCACAACCTAGTTATGGTTTTGATGTTCTTTTTTGATTACTTCAAGCACACTCCATATGCAAAGAAGGTGCTCTTGGAAAACTCCAACTCTGCAGAATATATGAATAAGAGATCACTTTGAAGCTTCCTACACCAGAACCAGGCATTTAGTTATGGAGAAGGATCAAATGGCATTAAACTGCTTAAAGCATATACCACTGAACTAAATTGCCTGATTTTCCCTATAAATTTAGTGTAGATTTTGCAAATATAAACTGGCTTGTCAGAAAGAATACACTTCTCTGTCTGGAAAAATACCATGTCACACATGCAACTTAAGGTAGGATTTTTGTAAACATGGAACAAAGCTGAATTTTTCACCAAAGTCCTGTTCCCTTATTCATCAAGTCCAGGGGTTGGGAACCTTTTTGGGCACATGAACCATATTAAGATTGAGCTAAGTGCTTGTGAGCCAAAAGATTTTAAAACAACATAATTTTTCCTGTAGTTGGCAACAGTCATGTGCATTCTTTGATACATGAGAAAAATGAGGAAAAACCATGATTTTTAGCCATGACTCAAGAGCCAAAATTGGTTCATGAGCCATATGTTCCCAACCCCTGATCTAGTCCATTACTCCTGAGAATGTGAACAGGATACTTAATTGCAATATGGAATAAAACTTAAGGTTTTGCCTTGAAGGGTATGCATCATGAAGGCCAAGGTATAAAATGAGGTGTACACAGTGCCACTGTACCTGTTTTCACTCAAATGCAACATTAAATTACCATGCATGTCTTTTAAATTCAGAAACTTATAAAAATGAATTACATGTCCTGAAACTACGTACTGCCTGAGTTGACAGACCAATACCATAGCTTGCAATTATTTGTTAGATAAGGGTTGGAGCATCACACTTTCTAACACGAACGATAAATTCTTTATTAAATTTCATCAGCAGATTCTGGGATCACACGATATGATCTCTTAAAAAAAGAGACTCCCTCTTCGTCCTAGCCTAACATAGCAGTAATCATCAACAAAAGGTTCATACAATGAGCTTGAATTTTGCTTCTCTGTTATTTCTTTCATTTCTTCTGCTTTGTTACATTTCTTCTTGCCGTGGAGGATTTTTATGCAAAATAGCATGGTGCACTCTGTGACAAGAGGGTTCAGACCCCTCTCTTGGTTGCACCACTGTATAGTTATGATTTTCAAGGCATTAGAAAGAGCAAAAAAGAGAGCTATAAACTGACACTGAACACCTCTCTAGCCATATTTTTTACCAAACTTATTGCATGTGTCACGCAGTGGCTACCCAGGAGGTGTACAGTGGTGACAAAATAGCAAGTGCTTTATCTTCCCTCATTCTAATCCTATTTCAATGAAATTTATATATTCTTGCTTAGAGACATTACATCTTATTTAATACCAATTTCAAGGAAATCAGAAATGGTCAAGCACATTGGTTGAGTTGATGTGGAATGGCCCCTACCCAATGTTTTAAAATCTCACCAGAGCATAAAACGTGAGAAAGATGGGACTGTTGGTAGCCCTGAGTTTCAGTCGAGCTTGCTTGAAGTAGACCATCAGGAAAACCAGGAACAGCACATTTGGGATAAGAATAATGAGGTCCCATATCCTCACACTATGTAAACAAAAAGGCACATGGAAATATTTCATTTGCAATGGCATTCTTTGCAGATGGAGGAAGATGTTAGCCTACAGTTTGAAGAACCAACCTAGAATCTGATATTTCTTCATAGAGGATCCACTTGCAGAAATGCTCATCGTAGATCGGCGAGGGCTTCACGGTCACATTTTCTGTTGTATTGGGGATCACAGTTGCCTCCCAAAAGGAATGAGTACTTGAGGTCTCTACTGAGGCCTGAAAGGCTGTGCCTGATGAAATGGAATCCTTTGTGCTTGCCCTCAGCACATCCATTTCTCGTCGCTTTCACTTAGCTATTTTGCCAGATCTGCAACCAGACTTGAGGCTAATTTCCAGGGCAATTGCTAAGACAATAGGCTAAGCCAAGATTTCATTTCACTGAAATAAACCTAAAATCCTAAGCCACCAGTTTGGGGACCTACTGAGGAGCATTCCATGAGAATTTAAAGCAACATGCCCATTTCACCCACAAACAGGCTGGGCAAGGCTTAGCCCAGTAGCAAGCCTCCCTTGAGCATATGGTCATAGACAATACAGGTAAAAGCACATGTGAAAGCAACAAAGGGGGACAATAGGTAAGTTCCAATCCTGTACAATAGGATGAGAAATAACAATGGAACAAGGCACAGGCATTATCTTCTACCTTGTTTTAGTCATCCCTGGTGATATCTAACTCTGAACATAAATACTTCCATCATAAAATGCTTAATTTACCATTGCCAGAATTAAAAATTACCCAGCTCTGAGAACACATATTAGTCCATATTAAGAGACCAACACATGATAACATTTTTCCATACAATCATTCAATTCTGAGTAGCAACTCATGAATGCTATACGTAGTTGCAGTCTTGGGTTCTGGCTGGGGTCTCAGTAGCAAGCACATCTCTACATAGTACATTATCAGAAGAGGACCATAAAGATTATCTGTATAACCATGAGATGTGACATCTGCTGGAACTTGCTTTCCACACTTTATTGTAATTTTATTTTCGCATCAACAGGATTACTGTCCTTTGGCGTATCAGCGAAAAGTGACTGGAATCGTAATCTTTCCTCATACGTCTCCAAACACCATGTTAGGTAACTCATGAATGCTGATCCTGATATTCCAAAATGTCTATGGTGCAATGACTTTGGTAGGATGCCTAGGTAGGGTAATCACCTGCCCACTATTTTTATTGGACACTGCCATAAGGTTAAGTTAGGACTTTATTCCAGGATGAAGGCCAGGTGGTTCCCTTGATTCAAGCTTCAGCCAAAGAATAAAGAAAAAATACTGAATAACAATTAACAATACACGAAAATAAGTACTAGAGTAGACTAGAGTAAATGAAACTCGGTCAGTCTCACTGTTCAAGCAAAATGAAGCAGGCGATAAAAGGGGAATATCAACAACGATATGTATTACGTTCGTTCTCGTCATGGGGTAGGCTTTCACTCACAGGCCCACGAGAGATTTACTCCAAGGTGATGCTGATGATGCTATGCTGCAACACAGGTTAACCCCTACAGCTGTTCTAGACATGATTGACTTGATAATGATGTCGCAGTAGCCTCTAGGAAGGCCAACAGGAGGGATCCATGTTGGATTTTATATGGCGTTGCTATGGTAACAGCATGGCAACCTCCTTGCCTCAGTAGTCAACGTCTGCTGTTTGAAATTCGTGAGTTGAGCCCTGATCTTTTAATTGCTTGCACGGTCAATGAGCTTGACCGTGATGGTTATCTCTTGCTCAAACGGGAGCTACGTAAACGCCTTTAATAAGGAAAATATCATTAGGCCTAACCTGGACTGGTGCAGCCCGAGTCAAAGAATTCTGTGGTCTTCTGCAGACGGGATCGGCGAGCAACAGCACGAGGCGTGGACTGCTGGAAATCTCCCAGCCGGAATCGAAGATGAGTTCCAGGTTCTCCGACAAGGCGATGAGGGGGATGTTCGACAAATCGAGTCACGGGTTCTCCACCTCCACTCCCGTCCCTTCCCCGATTCACAAGGGCAGCCCCAGGAGTTCAGACGACTCCGCTTCGACCTCGTACCGCTCGCCTCCCGAGTATCATCACGGGCCGTTTCAGTTCGGCCTTCCAGGCAAGGAGAACGAGGAGCTGTCTTCGCAGAGTTCTGCCGATCTCACCCACGAAGTGGCCGTCCTACTGAACAGGTTGAGGTTGGTACCATTTGCAAAAGTACTTCTTGTGTTGGCTGGCAGTTTGTGCCTCCCGTTTTGCTTAAAATTTAAAGTAGGATTGGCGGGTTGCATCTTTTCAGATGGATGTAACATTGGCCTGTGTTTCAAGGAAAATTAGATGAGTTTGATCCATGAAAAGACAGTTATAGTGGCATGGTCTTGTTATGAAGGAAAGAGGGTTGTTTGATTCACTGTCTTTTAAATTTAGAATTAGCTGGTCCAAAAATTATTGGAAACCATAAAAAAATTTTGGAATGATATTCAGCATAGTCAAAGGCTCAGCTGTAAGATCAAGTTTGACAAAGCAAGTGCTTCATTTGGAAACATTCAGCAGTAAAGCCAGTTTGATGCTTAATTTTCTGGTTGGATTGCTCACCATCGTCTCAAGAGTATGCCAGCCTCATTCTCTCTGATGTGAGTGACAAGATCCTTAATTCACTTCAACAATTTAACTAAATTTGGTACTAATTGGGACCTGTATGTTTGAGCAAAAGAATGTGTTTGTGAACAGGACATCTCAGATTAAGAACATGAGTAGCTACATGAATAATATCGATTTTCCAAACCTTGAGAAAAGGAAAAGCTATACTAGGCCCTAAATGGAGGCCTACTGTCGATTCTCAACAGGACCTATCGAGAGAAGTTGGACAAAGCCGTCCAGCAGGCGCTCCACCCCTGTGATATTACACGCTCCTCCATATCACTGGACTCGCTCAGGCCCCCCGCCCCCCGACCTTCATTCATCCGTCCTTCGACCGCAAAGCCCCGGACACGCAAAACGGACCCCGTGTCCCTCTATCATAAGTACAAGCAAGAATGGGAAAGGAACAAGATTCCAGGTACAAGTCCTCACAAGAGCCTGCGCTGGGAGATTCGACATCGCATGGCCCACATTCGATGACCATGTTCATTTTATTTTGTGTTTTCTGGTTCTTTTCTTCTGACAGCAAGAATAAATGACAATTTGCATCCAAAGACTGCCTTTCACCTGACGTCACAATAACGAAACTTCAAGTTGCCCTGCATCGGAAAGATGGTATGGATGTTACGAAGGATCCGTTCTTCGAGCCGATCCAGTGCCGCCAGCGTGAGCACGAGTGTCTCATGCTTCAGCATACTGTACACATTCAAACCTGCATGAGAAAACATTTACCATATAATTTCACCACTTTCAAGAAAAAACCAAATTATCAGCACTTTTAAAGGAAAGTATCTTACCATAGAGGGGCATTAAAGTGACACCTTTCCTTGTGCTGGCTGCTTTTGCAATGTTGAGCGGGAAGATGTCTGTACTGTAATGGATGACAAAGATGGCAATTGGTGAATGGAGATATTAGGAAATGAACAGTGCTATAATTTGCTGTAAAGTATCAACATCCCAGGCATCCTAAAGCTTTTAGACAGTATCATTTATGTACCACCACAAGGATATGCTATATATTCTCCATTGAACAAGTCTTACTGTAATGGGAGCATCTCATCACGAGTGCCTAAAAGTTCTGAAGCTGTGATAGGCTGAGTTCCTGCACAAGATTCCACTGCATGAATGATATGCAAGGAACCCTCCATCAATAGAGTCTAATGATAGTGACAAAATGGCTCCGTACTCATCCACAATCAGGGCAGAAATCCCCCAATGCCTGGATTCTAAAAGATCTCCTAAGTACTGCTGGTCATCTGTAGGAATATTTAGGTTGTCCACGATCTTCAGGTCATCCTGCAAAACAGAAGAATGCCATTAGACTTGAACTTATCTTCAGCTCAATACTGGTAAAAGCTCAGGTTTTTTCATTTAATGCTGATAAAAATTTTCTTTTTTGCATAAAGCAAAAATAAATACTGATTTGTCATAATTACCTGAAATGTTTAAGAATAAGTCCTTGCATAGAAACAAGCCACTGTATAACTTAGCAATAAGATATGATAAATTTTACTTATGAAATGTCTCTATATCAAGTTAAACTTTTATACTCTACAGCATAAAAGTTAATTGCCATGTAAAAAGACACAAAACTTTGAATCACTGCATCCTTCTTACTGAAAATACTTTCAGAAAACATTCAATTTATAAAGGCTACTAGGTTCCTGTGCACAATTGCCACATCAAACACCTCTTCCATGAAGATTTCTTCCTTTGGCTGACCATGTTAACATGGCTTGGAATAGGTTCTTTTTCAATTATTGACAGAAAAATCAATTAAGTTTTTAAGTTGTTAAGTGTTTTTCCTGATAAAAACTATAATGGATTAATTTACCACCATCAGCCCTATGCAATTTTAGAAAGCCATACATGAAAGCTAGAAACACTACTAGATAAACACTCAATCAAGGAAATTCCCAAGTCCAATTCATAAATTTGACCCCAGGATAGCATAATGAAAAAAAAAAAAAGCTTGACTAATAAGCACCTGAGCAAATTTTGTGGAAAGCACGGCAGTTAGTCCATTGACTCGCATGTGTCGAGGAAGCATGTAGAACCAAGACTCTGGTCCTCTAGGTCCATGAGCAGATCCACCATTGATCCACAGGGGAGAACGTATGGAACCGTGTCTAGCTCTTCCAGTACCTTTCTGTGGCCAGGGCTTCCTTCCCCCTCCAGGCATCTCAGCACGACTCTTGGCTGTCTCCCACCTCTTTGGAAGAAGTCAAGCAGAGGAAAGGGAATAAGAGACCTCAATTCACTAAAATTACTAATAATTCAATCATGAAGGTCAATTGCTGCTCTGTTAATTGAGTAATGAAAATGATGAACGTAGGAGTTATGATTTCATTTGCACAAGAGATCCTGGGTCCCTGAGGTCACTTATCCCAAAATTTGGGGTAAAGCGTATGACCCCCTCTTCTTCACTATCACTGCAGTTTCAGACCAGTTGTATGTAACTAAAGCAAGCATTCAATCATGGACTTCAAATTCCCTTCAGTAGTCCCTTTTAGTATCTCCTCCCAGGCTATCATTTTGCTGCAAATAGGGAGGTTCAAGCAGACTGATTATGACCCATGAAAAATTTTGCACGAAGAAGGAAGGTAGAATTATGGCCATGGCTGGAGATACTCTTCTATTTGCACTCTATAAAACAGTATTGGTGCAGCTCTGTGACAATTCATCTGCATGGTGAATGATGTCTGCAAAATATGGTGTCAAAGAGATCATTTTTTACTCGTATGTACATGTATGTTTGACTCAATGCAGAGGATAGATAGCATTCTTAACCAATCTGTCTCATCTATAACTTCTCAACACTTTTTACATGAAAATGTTGGGTCTCCTCAGCCCCCCCTCCCCCCACCCCCCCAAAAAAAAACTAAATATAGGAGAAAAACAACACCAAGCCTAATACAATATTAAGCCTCATTTGAATGTATTATCAGAGATGGTACAGGCAAAATGTTGGAGATATGAAGAAAGAAGAGGAGGAGGAAAATGGAATAGGATGCTTGGAAATAGTGTGTGGTTCAAGTGGGATGATTATTTTTAACCCTTTGCATTTCACAGGTAAAAAAAAATTGATAAAATAGAATGATTTTTAAGAAAAGAGCGATTTTCCCAGGAATTACTGAATGAACATTTTTTTGTTTAACTCTTGTTTTATTTAGCAGAATAAGATGTTGCTCTCAAACTTTGTGTTCCTATGGGGTGTGAAATCTCTTGATACAGCTCCCAGAGTGTTACATGTAAAGAAAAGGAGGCATGCATACAACACTGCAAACTCATGATGTTACGTGGAGTGCAACAATGGAGGGCAATAGGTTAATGAGTCTTCATGGAGCATTTAGATTTAGACCAACTTTACAGAACTTGACATACCACTTTCTGATACTTGAGCTGCCATTCCACATTCTGATGGATGATACTCATGTGAGGGGAGAAGGCAAAGACACGAGGGTGCAGATCGACCAGGCCAACAAGTTCCCCGTTGATCGTATCCATGGTCTCCACCCACGCCTGCCTCTTGGCAGGTACGTTTGTCTTGGGCAGGAAATGCAGCTGTCGAGATGTGATCAGTGGAAGGTCTGGCCTAGTGGTCCCAGATTCTACCCATGGTGTCTTCTCAGGTTGCTCCACACCTATCATGATGAAAGTCTAAATCAACATGATTTTCATTGCACTTTACATGGAAAGGGGAGGATGATGATGGCATATGACTGCTTGAAAAAAATCCCAAATGCTGAGGAGATTAATTATTTTTGGAACACAAACAGGACAAATGGCATGATAGCAAGGAATGAAAATGACCAGAGGCATCATAACAAGTTTATATTGAGGCTAAAGAACAATACATAGTTATTAACACTAGTGAAAAAATATGTACTTATTTGATAGTAAAGCAGATTCAGCATGGAGATTCAGAAAATTCACCCATTCACAACATTCAGAACATTAATGATGAAATTGGTATGATCTCGCAGAATTATAAGGAGAACATCCATCACCTTCCTTCAGAATGGTAATAGCCACCGTTTCATACATAAATCTCCATCATGTGTTTATTCAATATGAAAAGACCCTAAGCTCTTCCATTTAAAATGCTTCCCCTCAGCCTTCTCCCCAGTCCTGTGCTCACAACACTGCTCCAACAAATTTCTGAAATAATACCCTGAATTACATCCCCCCTGAAATTTTCAAACCATCCACAATCATTAGAGTTCAGAGCCTTTTTAATCAGCTTCCACACCCAGGCATGAAAACACTCATACCAAAACACAAGTCTCAAAAACATCTAAAAAGTGTCACTCTCAAATGAAGGAAAAGTGTTTTCACAAAGTTAAAAAAAAATGCTGTTCACATGACAGAGATGCTTCTTGAAGATCATTATAAGGAAGTCATGCTTTTACCAGTGGTGTAGGAAACTGAATTCAGTTTAGACAGCTTTAGAGCAAACTCACTCAATTCTTTGAGAGAAGATCCAACGATCTCATAGTCTTGAGGTCTGTGTGGTGTCACCGAGAAAGTTTTCACCTGGAAATAAACCCATATTGCAGTTATCTAATAATCTTGCTCATTCTAGGGACCAAACACCAAAATGCAATCAAAGCTTATTCAGTTATTGTCTAAGCTAGGCCTTGTGATGGCATGTCTCACCTGGAGATGACTGCAAAAGGAAAAACTAAGTGGTCTGGACACACTTGCTCCACAACTCCGAATCCCATGACAGAAACTTGATAAGAGACCCATGATGCTGTTTTCAGTCCAAAATGTGGACTACTCAAACCTAGAATGACAACAATCCAAGACATGTGTTGGTATATTTTCAATTTCTCATATGTATCTATCTCTATACCTCCAAATAACCAATTGTATCATTAATTGCAGATAGCTATCTTGCTAGAAAATACTTCCTAGTTTAATTTTGACAAATGGCATGCATATACTCTTGCCTTGATTGCACATAAGTAGAGGTATTAATCTTCCACATTAGATAGTGCCTATAAAGGAATATGAGAGAGCTGCCATACTGAATTATTACCAATAGAAAGGGCAGGCTACAATGAGCATAATTGAGCCATTTTCAGACTAATCCATGTCCTCTTCAGGAATGAGAGGAGAAGAATGCTGAGTTAAAGGCATGCATGTGGAAACAGACTTCCCCAACAAGAGCCTGGCACAAGTGAGACCTTTGTGATGTACTGGAAGCTAAAGGCAGTAGGCTGAGGCCAATGTGAGGACTTCAAGGCAGGATAAGGAGATAATTTCCTTGCTTATAGGGCCAGGGTGGTATGACTACTCTCAAACACACTCCTGCCAAAAAGAATCAAGGTTAGGTCCCAAAAGTATGGAAGAATTACTGAGTGAAACACAATGCCAGTTTTATATAAAGCCTTGTGGGGGTAGTGAATCACAGTGTAAAGGGTGAACAGCAGACAGAGAATGCATCAGTCACAAATTGTCAGGATGTAGAGAAGCCAGCTCTAAAGTCATGACTGGTTTATTCATTACTTTTTTCTTGAGAATTTCCATAAGGCAATTATTGTTTGATTTTCTGCACATCTATCACTCGTACGGACAAATAATTCCATTTGTCCTGAGGTTCTCACCACCACCAGCTATCAATATCAATGTAAAAAATGTGACCAAACCATTTGTGACCTCCCAACAGCTTTCCTTACTTTGTATTCCAAATAGTTGCAAATCTGAAATCTCAAGGGGGTAAAAAAAAACAAAAACAAAAAAACAAATGGTAATTCAAAACCAATGATTGGGTGATTTGAGTGACTTTCTCTGTCTATCTTACAAAAATAAGTCATTTTTAATTAGTGAAATTACTTGAACTAAAATCAAATTTCTGGCAAAGAACTTTTTCAAGGTACCAGAATCATTATTCAGGCACACATTAAAAAAAAAAAAAAAACAGGTTGCACTTCTT